ATCTTCTGCAAATACTTTCTCCCATTCCATAGGTTGTCGTTTAGTTTTGCTTGCGGTTTCCTTTGCTGTGCAGAAGCTTGTAAGTTTCATTAGGTCCCATTTGCTTATTTTGGCTTTTATTTCTATTGCCCTAGGAGAACATTGCTAGGATTTATGTCAGATAATGTTTTGTGTATGTTTTCTTCTAAGAGGTCTACAGTGTCTTGTCTTATGTTTTTAAGTCTTTAAACCATTTTGAGCTTATTTGTGTAAGGTGTGAGGGAGTGTTCTAACTTCATCAATTTACATGCAGCTGCCCAGCTTTCCCAACACCATTTGCTGAGGAAATTGTTTTTACTCCTTTGTATATTCTTGCCCCCTTTGTTGAAGATTAATTGACTGTAGGTCTGTGGGTTTATTTCTGGGTTCTCTGTTCTGTTCCATTGATCCATATGTCTGTTTTTGTACCAACACCATGCTGTTTTGATTACTATAGCTCTGTAGTGTTGTCTGAAGTCTGGGAGGGTTATTCCTCCAGCTTCATTCTTTTTCTTCAGTAATGCTTTGGCAATTCTGGGTCTTTTGTAATTCCATGTAAATTTTAGGATTATTTGTTCTAGTTCTGTGAAAAATAACCTGGGTAATTTGATAAGGATTGCATTAAATCTGTAGATTGCTTTGGCAGCATGGCCATTTTAACAATAGTAATTCTTTCAATCCAAGAACATGGGATATCTTTCCATTTCTTTAAGTCACCTTTAATTTCCTTACTCAGTGTTTTGTAGTTCTCCACATATAAGTCTTTCACTCTTTGGTCAGATTTATTTCCAAGTATTTTATTTTTTTGGATGCGATTTGATTGTTTTTTTACTTTCCTTTTTCTGATATTTCCTTGTTAGTGTAAAGAAATGCAACTGATTCTTTATGTTAATCTTGTATCCTGCTACCTGAAATGATCCTTCTTGTTTTTTGACATACAGCAACTTCCTAGAAAAAGGTCAAAGTTATTTGGTTCTAACATTTAAATAGGGTTATTAGCTGGGTGAGATGGCCAATTAGTGTTGGCAAGAGTGACTACTAGGCTGACAGTATTATGCCAGGCTGACAGCAAAATAATAGTAGGGATGACAGGACAGACAGAATTGAACCATCATGATTCCTGTGGAATGATACATTAGTAATCAAGAAGAGTAGTTTATGTTTCATAATTTAACAATTAAGATTACAAGATCTCACATTAGATATTCTGTTATGTTTATCCTAACTACCTAAAAGAGTCTAGGAGCCTCAAAACTGCCCAGCCAGGACCAGAAGACCCTCCAGCTGATCCACAGATTCAGGGGGGATAAAAATATTTTTCTTTTACTCCCTTGAGTTTTTGGTGTAGTTTGTTACAAAGCAATAGCTAACTGACTCACCCAATTTTGTCTGGAAGGGCTGAAAAGCTTTGTCTGAATATTAACAGGATGCTCTTAAGGTCCTCAATCCTCCCAGTCTCTGTTACCAAGCACACGATGTCCACCACATCAGTGCAGAATACACTTTCAGGTTCCTCGGGTTGGTCTCTAGTTGGCCCCTCATCTGAGCCTGATCTGACTCTTATCTGGCATATGATATCTCTGGAGATTGACTTGGTATCAGCCTCTCCTTGTCTATAATCTGCCTTTATTTGTAGGCAGACTTCATCCTCATCTGCCTCTGAACTTTCAGTATCAGACCCTGGGTTGGTCCCACCCTGGCTTTGCTACC